AACAGCATGTTTTTTTTCAGGTGACTTGAACAGGATAAAGATTGTCATTGATTATAAGAAAAATATAACTTCAAAAGAGAAGCAAGCGCAACATTGGATATCATGAAAATCTTGGACATAAATCATAAAACACTCAAAAAAGAAATTAAGATATTAATAAGCTTTATCAGGGAAATGATAAAATAATTCTAGAGTGAGAATTTGGAGTTGGTAAATAGCACAGTAGATAAATTCCCTCCCCTTCCCAAATTGGAAATTTATTTGATGCTATGAAGTATTTCTTGGGAACAATAGTCTGTTTAAATTCTCATTGTTCTTTCTGGGATACTTATTTATTTCATTAGCTGTGTTGACTTATTTTTAATAATACAAAAATCTTAATTTTGTATTAAGTATAGTCACTTATTTTTTCTCAGTATTTCAGTTTATTCAATATTTAGATCCAAAGAACTACTATTTTTTTTATTGTTATAATTTTTTATTTTTCTAAATATATTTTACATTATCATCTAGCTACAGATGTTTACCACATGTGCTCTTTTTTTTTTTTTTTTTTTTTTTTTAGAACTACTTTATGAATATTTATAGCTCACTGATTCATTAGAGAATAATTTACTGAAGATGTTAAACTATTTCCAATCAATATTATCAGCTATGAGGTTTTTAGTATATATTTTTATTTTTTCAAATTTGCATTTGATTGTTGTGAGGAAAATGTGCAGCAGAACCAAAATTTATAAATGCTATTCATACTAAAGTGTCTTTATTATTCAGATTATAGTGAAATTATTTCTATACAATGTCTATTTTTGGTAAGCTCTATTGCATTTCTTATAAAAACAATTTTACTTGGCAGTTTCAAGTGGTTATGACCATATCACGTTGAAAAAAAACATTGGTTCTCATTTAATCACTGAAATTCAGCACTAGTCAGTACTTAAATGGGTTACCAATAGGGAATACCAGGTGTTATAAGCTATGTGACAGGCCTAGCAAGCTGGCAATGGATACAATCTTGCTTCTTGTACTAACAGACAACCTTGATATGTGGTGGTGCTTCTGGACTGACAGGTCATAAGGCCCACCTGAAGTTAGATGAGTGGGAGTGAGTCTCAAGTGGTAATAAATTCCAGACTGAACATCTTGGATGCAAAATATCGAGACAAGTATTTGTCATAAATAATGTCTGGAAAAAGAATGAATAGATGTTTTTGACTTTCTTGGATGTGATTTATATCAATATATATTATAAATGTAAGTGAAAGCATTCATAACATGTATAAAAGCTGGTTAGTCATCACTAATATTTAAATGAAAAATTGTGGCTGCATTTGAATCTGCAAGTGTCTAATTTGATGAATTAGCACGTTTAGACATAGCTGCAAGTAGTGATTTATTTATTTATTTATTTTTTTTTTTAATCGATTCACCCCAAGCAAGGCAATAAAGCCACTAGGGTGCAAAGGATTATTGAGTGTTAGAGAATATTGAGAAATCTACTATTAAGGAGAGAAGACAGTAAAAGAACAGGACCGAAGATAACAATTGATATTGCATTTAAAGTTTTGAAGGTCAAAGTTGACTGGGAAGCAAGAAGCCAGAAGAGACTTCCACAAGCAAAAAGTGCAATAGAAGAAGCTGTTAGCATAGAACTTATAGCTACATTTAGCTATTTCAACTAAAATTTTGAGACTTTACCACCAATCTAGTGTCGTGCTTCAATATATAAAGTCTAGGTACCATAGCAGAAAGTTCATCAGAACAATTACCATGAAAGTATTTAAAGAAAAGGTACAGAGAAGCTACATTACAGCAGTGGGAAAGGGACTGAAACCAATATGCCATGTCAGGACCAGTAACAATGCAGAATCTTCTTTAGATTTTATCAAGAATCTCTAAAAATATAATGTGAGAACCAGATCAGATGTGACAGCAGTGTTCAAAACAAGGATGAATGGTAGACATGAATATCTAAGATAGATTCTGTTGAGAAAAATTGTCTTGCATGACATAGTGAACCAACTTTCTTAGTTGCAGACTAAGCAATTGATTCAATGTATTCTTTCCACTTCATGTCAGCTGAAAACATTAGTCTAGGGTTGTCCCAGGTGACGCTAAAAAAGTGGTATACCCTGGAGAAAAAAGGTCCCTAAATTGAAAAAAAAAAAAATGTAAGGTGTAAATGTTTATGTTAAAATTAAAGAGGGAAGACCAAGGTATTTTTTAATTATTTTAAAAAAATTTTTTTTTCATTTGCAGCATTTTTTAAATTTAGGTTGAAAATCTTGGGTTTTTTTTAGGTCAAAAATTAGGTCATATTAACATTACTTGTTTTTCACTGTTTTCAGTTGCAAAAAACACATTGATTTGGAAAATCTTGCAAAAATCAAGTACTTGTTGGATTTTAATGAAACTTTCAGAACTTATTCACAAATGAATGAAATTATTTTAGAAATGTTTGTCTTTTTGAAAGTCATGATATAAATAGTTTTTTTTTATATCTGTTACACCCCTCGAACTTAATTTTATGAAATCTTCAAAAATTAATTTTCAAAGCCTGATATTTATTTTTCAATTAAATGCACAAGACTCTGAAGATTCTAAATCATCGATTTTTTTTTTTTTTTTTTTTTTTTTTTTGGTAAAAAAAAATGCAAAATTGTCCAAACTTTTAACTCAATTGTAAAAATACAAAACTCAATAAAACTGAGACAATATTTAATTTAAAAAACTTTTTATGACTTTTCTGAATAACATATACTAAGGTAATTCTTATCTGAAAAAAAAAAAAATTTGATGAAAAATGAATTTTTACAATAATTTTTTTCTTTTTTTTTTCTATTTTAAATACACAATATGACAAAATGTTGTTATATATTTTAAAATTAAGTTTCTTTATAAAGCTTTATGGAAATGACATATTATGTTCTCTACTTCTTATAGATCATAAATTTGAAAGCTTATTAAAATCTGACAACCGTGAATATTTTAAAATAATTTTTAATATTCCAAAATTGTATTTAAAATAGTCTCCAACGAAAGTATGGATGCACAACTTTGAAATAACGTCACGTGAGGTAGAGTTGTTTCCCTAGATAGAAGCAAGTTTTTTTACTTCAGAAATTACTTTGCATTCATTCAGTTAACAACAAAGCAAAATTTGAAATCGATTGCATAGCATTTCAATATTAATTTTGTTAATAAATAAAATATGTATAACTCAATTTAAAAAATGTTGTTACTGTTTCATTTTTACTTGTGAAATTTGATTTTTTTTCACAATTTAAATGTTATTTTCAGTGCCGAAATTTTTCTTCAAACGTAAGGTTAAAAAAAAAAAAATTGAAAGTTATTATTTTTTTTTTTTTTTACTAACCAGGTTCACTTAAAATTAGAAACGAATTACATCACTTCTGCGCTACCGTATGATAAATTCCTTGACGTAAGTTGTCAATATATTGACACCCATCAATTAACACCTTCAATCACGCACTTCTTGCGAAAGTACCACGGTTGGAAATATCTCTATTAAAAATTTTCTGCTAAAAAGTAAGTAATGTTTCTTTCAAATTACATTAAGTATACTTTAATCATTCTAAATTTCCTAAGATAACAAAAAAAAAAAAAGGTGTAATTGAATTTTAATTGATTTTTGAACTAATTTTGATTTTTTGTTTACAAATTCGGACAGAAATGGCCGATAAGTCGAATTTACTAGTTTTTTTTATTCAAGAAAAACGAATTCTTTAAAAAAATTTTAAAAATTTATAGTAAGGATTAAAAAATCTGAAAAAATATTCAAAAAATACTTTGGTCTTCCCTCTTTAATTTTAACATAAACATTTACACGTTAAAATTTTTTTTAGCGATTTGGGGACCTTTTTTCTCCAGGGTATACCACTTTTTTAGCGTTACCTGGGACAAGCCTACATTAGTCCGAGAAGGTGCAATGAGTCACTCTCTTGGAGGTTAGCATCAGTCATGCTGATGGAGTGCTAAAATAGTTCTCTCAGATGATTAAAATAATGTAAAATGCATTAAAATTAACAAGTCACTCTTTGCTCCATTTAACAGATTGTAGGTCATTTTTGAAATCCAATTTGATCTGATCGAACTGATCAGACTTATTAAGGTAGGAATAGTTATCAGCATCGATACTAAGTTGAAAATGTCAGGAAGGTCATTTATAAAAATTAAAAAACATTGATACAAAAAGATCTAGAAGAGTGGCCATTCAAGATAACTTTCATTTTGCAATTTGATAAGATTTTAACATGTTAGTAAAATTGGGTGTTGGAAGACTGGCTTTGTTATACTCAAATTTACTATTTAAAAGTTATTTATGTACATTGCAAAATTGGCAAGGAAAAGCAAATATTCTTTTAATCTACTTTGGTTATAAAGATCCTGTATATACTGTAAACTTTATAGGTATATATATGTTACACTTAATATCTCTTTCTACTACCAATATTGCAATTTCCAGGTACACTAAATACTAAACCAGTAATATACTTTCTCCAAAAAAGAGACACATAGAGTTGGTATCATTTGACATTTTGTAGTATTTTACAGTTTATGTAAAGGTAAAAAAAAAATCTCTATAAATTTTTAAAATTATACATATACTTAAATACTGCAAGAGGAAAATAATCATTTTTTTAAAGTAACACTTAAATAATTTTTTTAATTGCAAATTTTGGTTCCATTATAAATGTAAAATTATTTTTGTGCTCTACTGCACAATTATGAGACTAGATTAAGTTGCTTGCTGTTATGCTTTTTCTATTTCAGTAGGTGCAGGTGTGCTTGTTTTTTCATATTATTTCAGGTAATTTACTACTTCTCATGTAAGCATAACATGAATCTTTAGTACTTTATTTACTTTATTTATCCCCCCCCTATTCCTGCAGTTCACCATTTTTTATTGATTTTCTATATAATCAGCCATCAGAATTCTGAATAACACTTTAATTTTCATTATTCTTATTGCTTTGCAGGGAAAGAAAGCTGCCCAAGATGAACTGCAATTTCAAGGTAAATTTTTTTTTTTTTTTTTTTTTTTAAATTTTTTTTTTTTTTTTTAAATTCATAAGTTTCTGGGATTAAATGAATAAATATTAGCATATAACTTTTTGTAAGTTATATTTATATTTGTTGAATTTTAATGTTTTGCTTTCAGAATTCACTCTTTAAATAGAAATAGCATGAAAGTCATTTTCTGATCCCCAATTATAAAGGCTCTTATTGGAGAAGCTTACATTTGCTCTATTTCTGACATTACCTGTTTTTTCTTAAGCTTATTCCTTTTTTTTTCTCTATTGGATAATTTAGTTAATCTACCTGATCTTAATGTCTTTGCTAGTTTGTATGTAAAAAAACTTTCCATATATCTTAAATAGAGAGAGTAAAAGGAAGAAGAATGGAAGGAAATTTCCAGGCCATTTAGCACTATGTGGCTGTCATATTACTTGCTTATATAAAATACTCTAGTTCTTATACTTGTAAAGTTTTCTAGTAACAACTGCTTTCATGTAGTCTATGAAATTGCCATTGATCTAAATTCTATCCAGTATTATACAAGTCTGTACTCTGTAATTCTAGCTTGTACATTTTCAATGTTGTTTAGCATATGGTATATTTAGCCTTGTTTTTTTTTCAGTTAATAATCCATGATCATTTTCCTTTCAAAACATCTGTATCTCAACAATCAAATATTATTTAACATCAACTTTCTCAGGCTATTACCTATGTGATAATCACTTTCTAGATGTTTAAATACCATTTGATAAACTTAGGAAACAGTACATTGTTTTATTTATGAAGCTGCTATTGGTTCTTGTAAATATATAATTGATGGACCTTAGAAATAATTGAAAATGAAACAATTTTGTTTCAAAATAATCTTTACTTATAAAGTTATTGATAATTATGACATGTCACTTATAAACTCAGAAATATTAAAAAATTTATACACCTGAAAATTTCAAGAAAAAAAGTATTTTTTAAGTAACCTAGAAAAATGTTTACAAACACCGTAAAATATGAGGCATGATCTTGAAATTATACAAATTTATATTTGAAATATTTTCTTGAAATCTTGAAAAAATTTTTATCAAATTTAAATCCCCCTCCTCTTTCACTCTGTTTTTCTTTTTCATTTTCTCACTGTTTTAGTCTGCCTCAGTATTAGCTGGTAGTAACTGCTGTCATTATAGGGTCCATATAGTTGTTACAGGAGATGGCTTACGCATGTTGCAAATCTCAGTTGGTACTTTGAAATGGAGGATTTTAGAAACTGTCTGTTAAAATGTAGTGAAATTTTAGAGGCTGGCTTATGATGACCTGTTGTTGGTAAAGCAATAATCTTTAAAGAAAGTCAAACTTATGTTATGGATAATTACTGCAGCATAAAGTTTAAAAAGGAAAGATAAAAAACAACTCGCTGTCTAGAAGATGGCAGGTTTACCACTCCATAATGAGTGGATTCTTCACAGGGTCAAATACATGAATTTGGAATGACAGCCAATAATAACAAATGACAAATGCCAATGTATAAATTAACAAGATTCATTTATAACTAGACAATACCTGAAAACTTTTAGATAAGAGAATTCATGGAAAGATATGTGTTATACATTTCTGTGTGGAAAGATGTATGTGTTATATTCTTAGGCTAAAAATTGAAAGAAAAAACTTAGCTCCAGTCTTTCTTCTGAAGTAAAATAGGGCTTTCTCTCTTCCCTTTTCTCTCTCATTCTCTTATGTTTCTCTTTGTTCCTTTTACTTTCAAATCTGTTTTGCTCAAGTAGCAGTGTCCTTTGATCTATTCTTCTTTCTTCATCATTTGGTTATGGAGATCCAGTGCTGGAATCACTTGCAAATTCAGATGCAGCTACAATTCTTCATTTAATGAATCCATTATTCAGATCCTTCATCCAATTGAATGTGTCACATATGCTTGCCTTAGGTGATTGTTACATTTTGCAATTCACCTCTGCATTTGATGTAAGCAGCATAGTATGTTGAGTTTAATTGGAATTCATCTTTTATTATGTGATCTCTCTTGTTCAACTGTAACAAGTAAAAAGAGATACTATTTGCACAAGACTCATTTCCACTTGATTATGTGCTTGGGATTTGTGTGAGTTGGGGATAGCATTCATTCTCTTCAGCTCAGTGTGTTTGGTTACTTGATGATTTCTTAACCATGTGATTCTGCATGTGTAGGAGAATCTATCTTAAGCTTCTGCTTAGCCCATTTGATCTGATTGTTTTTGTAGTCAGTAACTACTATTACATATTTAAAGAGAGAGGAGGAGTTCACATGTTATATTATTAGAGAGATGGGAATGAGAGATGGGTCGCTAAGTGTAAAGAGTGTGTGGTTATGGGTTTGGGGCTGTTTAAAGACATAACACTTAGTAGAGGAAAAAGATTTCATACTGCAATATTAGCTGAACAGGAAACATGAAATAATACACCACTGATAAATTTTGTTGATTTTTGCAAGTTGTGTGTTTGACAAGGTTATTATACATTAGTAAGAATGGTAATGGAGATGACCTGAGGTGCTAGCCCATAAACAGGATGTAGATATCACCCAAGGGCCAGGAACTATCATTCTGACTATATGTGAGGTTACTGTGGCCCAAATCTTCATGCATGGATATTGGGTCTAAATCTAAATGAACTAAATTGCTGTCTCAAATTTATTGAAAATTAACCATTTACTTCAGGACATTTTCAGTCTAACTTCTTCTGTACTCTTCGTCTGATCAAATAAATTTATGAACCAACACATATTTCACTTCTCAGAAAATACATTGGAATCTTGGCCAACTCTGTTTGTGAACCTGCCCAGTGTGTTGTGAACTTTGTATTAGATTAAATGCACCTCATGAATGCCTCTACAAGTAACAAATCACACTTCATTACATTGGTGATGTGTTATGTCAGTAGCAATATCTATTTTATCTTCTCTATTCTCTACAAACATCATACAGTTGTCAATTATAGATACTAACTGTATCTTTTAAAGTGTTGAAGATCTCTGGTGAGGTTGATGATCATGAACTTCAGAGGGACCTATGATCCTATTGGATGCATGGCTCTTTGTGAATCCCATGTTTGATGTCTGCTGAGGTGATCAGAATTACTCAGATGCAATAAGTAAATGTGCATTTGGTGTTGTTCTTGACATGAATACAATAATTGTCATCTTCAAGTGGTCTTTGTGAGCTGAAGAGATGTGACAATCAGCTTGGCCAAATGCAGTACTATATGGTGAAATTGTTTCCTAATAAGATGGTAACCCAATATTGTAATTGTCTGGTAGATTATTTTTAGAACTGAATATTTAAAGTAAAAGATTATGAACCCAGGAGGGTGAAGTGTCATCCATGTCAAAGTGACCATGCCATCCATCCTAGTTTAATGTCCTTGATTTGTTGGAAAATAGCAGGAGCTGACTTTGCAAAGACCAAAACTGATGATGCCTTCAACCTTCTCAGACTTCGCATCACCAACAATGTCTCTTAATTCATGTTAAAGAATTTTCAGAATCTGGAGACCTGTGTTTTGAAGATAATCTTCAATTTGTTCAACAGGCTAGAAGATATTACAGAGCTAACAACATTGGGCACTACTGAAGTGAATACTTAAATCTATGAAGGCAGATAGGCAAGAATGGCTTGACCGTAAAATTACTATTAACTGGTACTACAGGCACCTTGATTCATAGGTGTTATGGCAGCAGCTCCTTTAGGGTGGAATTTGAATAGATGGCCAGTTGTAACAGATGAAGGTGGTAACAGAAATCAGATTTCTCCCAATTATCTTGTGCTGTGGGCATGACTTATTCAGCATGAGGAGAATAAAGTCAAACTGGAAGTGCCGCCTTTTAAATGAAATGCTTAACTGCTTCCTGCAAATGTCCATTCATGGCTCTCATGCTCAACAATACAACCCAGGGAAAGCAATTACCAAGTTGTGAAGTAGTAGCTTCAGCACATGGAGACCACAGGTTAAAGATTGAATGGATCAAAATAAATATTTCCTAAACATTTTAATGTTTTTATTATGCTACTAACAATTATAAATGATAAGTAAGTTTTAAAAAAATTTGATTTTAGGATGGTTTTAAATTTTTTTTCAGGATGATTAAAGTTGATTTTTTGTAGATGATTCCAGAGTGATGCTAAAAAATAATCTGGAGCCCAGCCCTTGTATAATATTAGTTTTATAAGGGAAGTATGAATAATGATTAGCCATCAGTTTATATACATATTTTTAAGTGTTTTTCAAAATACTAGGAGATTTCTTTCATTAAGATAGGTGAAACTTTTCTTTACGTGACTTTTCTATTCATTGATTTTCTATTGTCATTCAAATTTGTAAAGGCATCAAAGAAGGTTGTTTATAATCATGTAAGTCTACTCTTATATCATTTCTTTTGATATCTTCATTTTCAGTGTAACTTTGACATCCTAGTGAGCATAGAAGTGTCAAAAATATAAAAATTAAGGTGAGGTCAGAACAGTGCAATGAATGTTTTCCAACTCCTCTTTTCAATGTTCGTTCATCTGTTAGGCCAAATTCTTATGCTGTCTTCTCTGATTTTTCATAATCAAATTCAACGATGTGTCTGTGTTATGCTTGTCTAGCTTGCATCTATCAAGTTTGAAATCAGTTATATTCATTTATTCACAACATCCTGTTATTTCCACATTAAGGATACACATTTTCCTTAACTTCTAATAACAAAACATTTACCTTGTATCTCTCTTTGGTATACAATGTGACACTGTTAAGATATTCACACTTCAGTTATTTGATAAAAAAAGCACATAATCAGAACTGTGGACTTGTGAATTATATCCTTTACTACATTGTCAGCCTACTTCTATTTATATTCATTTAATGAAGAAAATGGTGCAGCAACATTTAGATGTATTGTGCACATATAAAAGGATGAGGAAGGTTACGCACCATTACATGAGTTAAGATGTTTTATAACAGTATTTTCAATTATTACT